TGCCATTAGTTCAGCTGCAGTTGTCATCAGTTAGGATCTTAAACAAGGCTCTAACTTTTGTATCACGTCTTGCATTCAACACCCATTATCTTGTTGGATTCTCAGAACAACCCTGTCAGGCAGACCGGGTGCGTGTTACTATCCCCACTTTGTAAGTGAGGAGCTGGAAGCCCAAACTAGAGAAAATGACTTTTCTACAGTCACATGACCAGTAAGTTACAAAGCGAGGGCGTGGACCATGTCTTCCGAATCCAAGTCCATTCATCTCTCTGGGTTTCCCTCAGTAGCCAAGTGTGGCTTTGTCATCCGCACACTTACTGAAATCCCTTTGATCTTGTTGCTCTTCAATTATCATCAGTGACCGTTTCATTCAAGGCTGGACCAACTGTGAGCTGAGTGAGCACCTGCTGCATGCAGGGTGGGCACTGCGCTGGACTCTGGTGACATAAAGCAGAGCACGGCGGGCAGGGCCTCTGCTTTCCTGTGCCTTCCACACCAGGGGAAAGACACAGACAATTAACAAGTCAAGAAAGAGAGATATAATCACAACTCGAGGCACTTGCTTTGGAAGAAAGACAGGGGTGGTCTGAGCCAACAAGCACGGTGGGCGGGCTCTTTTAGACCCGGAGCTGGGCAGGCGTCTCTGAGGGGAGGTCCCTAGATCCCAGACGGGAAGGACGAGGCAGGCAGCCGTGGAGGGCTTGGGAAGAGGAGATTAGCATCAGGAGGCATTTCAGGCAGAGTTCTCGCAGCTGCTGAGCATTCACTGTCATGCACTGGGCTAGAAGCTTTGAAGACACTTTCTCATTCTTACACCAACTCCACCAGGTGGCTATACTGTTATTCCTGTGGCATAGTTGAGGACACTGAGTGGCTGTGTTTCTCACGTCTCTTCATCACTGAGTTAAAACACCACCCCTATCTATGGATGTGTCAAGCCAGATAACCAACAGGTCACATTTCTTTGAGCATCATTTATATCCTCTGATCTCCAGGGTGAGATTATTCGGAACTCAGGCCCAGCAGCCTTGCTCAAGGCCCAGGCTAGGTGCCTGCCGTCGCTACGGGTGGGCCGTGCTCAGGCAGAGTCAGCGAGAGACAGGTGTCCCACTTCTGGCCCTTCTCACATCACAGTCTGGGTGCAGGGCCCTTGGGAAGGAACTGGCCAGGGTGAGCGGGGACGTGTTCAAAGGGCAGGGGATGAGGGAAAAGGAGGAAGGCTCAGGCTGGGGCCCTGTGGCACCTACCATTTTCCTAGAACATGTATAGTTATGAATCATAGCTGCTTAACTGAGAGATGAGAAGGCCAGGCACTGGGCGAATTAAAACCAGAGTGAAGAACTTCATCCAAGTTTAGCACCTCGTGATTTTGTATCTGGAGTTTAACCATCTAACATTTTTTCCTTCAGCAGCAAGGTTGTCATGCAGCCTCCACTATGCAACTCACACCCACGAGGACCGTTTAGGAGTTAAGATAATTTTTAAAAGGTGAGGAGGGACCAATGCTGTTTCTTCCCTCTGATCAGCTGAACAGATATTTATGGAGCGCCTGCTATATGTAAAATATTCTGCATGCCTCTACCCTGGAGTCGGGGTGGGGTCACTGTGCTCTAAGGTGTCAAAAAGAAGCGGGGGTTAGATCCAGTTTGGGTGAGGGGAAAAAACAAGGAGAGAGACAACCTATGTAAACCCAAGAGCATCAGTGCCCTTTTGGATTTAGGCCGCTGCCTTGTTTTCCCTTCGCTGTGGATGTTCTTGAGGGTAGGTTCTGGGTCTCAAACACTCATTCATCAAGGAAGTATTTTTTTTTGAACACCTACTGGGTGCAAGAAAGTTGGAAACCCCAGGGATATGGCAGGTTGGCTGCGGTCGCCGCTCCCATGGGGCTTCCGTGTTAGTGGGAGACCTATGGGAGAGGCAACAGGCCCCGTTAGCAGGTAGGCAGACAAATGCAGTGAATTCGGGTGAGCTTGCAGGGTTGGCGGGACACAAGCAAGGAGCTGGGGACCAAAGGGAGAGCCGTCACGAAAGGCCTTGGAGGAAGTGATGTTTAAGCTGAAACACAGGCTAAAGAGCCAGCATGCTGGAGGGTGGGGCTCTGGGTGTCAGAAAGAGGGGCAGAATGTAGCTTGGTCTGAAGGAGAAGGGGTGTCTGGAGGATCAGGGAGGGGGGGAGAGGAGCTGGGGTTGGGGTGGTGGCTGTGGGCAGAGCCGGGTGACTGAGGGCCTGGTGGGCCACATGGTCAGGGCTCCTGATGTTTGCTATTTGCAGCCAGCAGCTGCTGCAGTAAGATCCTGCGGGAAGCGATGCGCCTGAGTTACGCTGTTAAAGGATCCCCCGGGCACTGAGCGTCCACTGGGGTGGAGCGAGAGAGGTCAGGGAGGCGGCTCTGCCAGGTCCAAGCAAGGAATGAGCTGCCGGCCTCTGGGTGTGCTCTGTCAGTGCACCCTGGTCTTCTGGACCAGCCCCCGGAAACACCCAGTAGTTAACACACCAAAGAGGCTCATGTTGGGGAACCAGAGCCCAGGAGGCTGTCCCCTCCCCACACCCCCCATCATTCTGGCTAAGCCAAGTGCAGACCTCGCAGAGAACAGAAGGTTTTCTTCAAATGTCGTTTTCGTTTTACTCAAGTATCCTAAGGGAGAAAAAGCATCACTCTTAACATTTTCAAAGTCGTGTGTGTGTGTGTGTGTGTAAAATAACAAAAAACAAAATATCCGAGAAATTTCTCTATTGCTCTGTGTAGCTTTGCCACATGCTTCAAGGTCTCTTCTGTCATTTGGGACATTTAGGAGGAAAAATCAAAGAAACGCTGACATAATGGAAAGCATTTGAGCATTAGGGTCAGCCAAACCCAAGTTCAAATACAACTTTTGCCACGAGCTAGTTGTGTAAACATGAGCAAATGAGCCTCTCTGAGCTTCAGCTTCCTCTTCTGTAAAACAAGAAAAATGCCAGGAGGAGGGAGCAGGGTGCAGTGGGTTAAGTGCGTCCTCGAGCCCCCCAGGCACGCGTTCGAATGCTGTCCCCCCTGCTCTGACCCTGTGACCTTGGGTAAATCATTCAACTTCTTAGAACCTCTGTTTCTTCCTCTGAAAAATGGAACACCAACCTTTCCACCTCCCTAGGGTTTATTATAAACTACAAATAAAAGCACTTAGGTAAAAACTGCCACACAGTGCCTGGGACCTAGTAGATGTCCGGTAAAGTTAGCATCTGTCTCAGTTTCCCTGTCCCTAACTGAAGAGCTTAGATGAGACCATTGCTGGGGACTCTCCCCAAGCCGGTGATGCTGCATTTACTTGAAAGACCCTGGGAGAGTTAACCTGTCTGGATTGCTTGGGATCACAGCACTCCGCCCCCAGGTTTTCTTGCCCTTTGGTGTGGAGACTAGCCTTGCTGGGGCCAGACCCAGGAGGGTGGGCACACAGGCTGGGAGCAAGGTTATTTGGAGCTTGTTTGTCTTGGAGGTGCCTTGGGGCCAAGGAGACTCTCTCCCTCCCTCTAGGTTTGGAACTAGAATCCAATCACCCCGCCTTTATTTCCAAAACAGTTCCTGGCTCCGGCCGCGGGAACCTCCAGCTCCAGCTCTGAGAAGCCCATTGCTCCCTGTGTGTTCCAGAGCCCTGCTCCTCCGCCCTGACTCTGGGGCCTGCCCTGGGCCAGCTGTGGCTGAGGCCTGTCCCTATTGTCCCCTGGGGCTGGTGGGCTGGAGCCGCTCCTCCCTCTTGCCCAGCAAGTATGGCTGAGAGTGGAGGTCAGGAGAGAGAGGGGATGGGGAACGGAAGCTCCCCGTTCTCCTGCCTGTCTTCATCTAGCGGTTCAGGGACCCTCACCGGCCAGCTGGCAGGGGAGACTTGCTCCCTCCGCTTCCTTCCTCTCTCTCTCTCCCTCCTCCAAAACGTTTGCAGATCGCAGCTTTCCAAACCAGTTCAAACCTGCTTGAAGAACGTGGTTTCTCTTGCTGATGTGTCAATGTGTTGATGTGTTTTCTCGTGCTGATGTGTCGATGTGTCGATGTGTCGCAGCTCACAAGTCACACTGACCAGTTTCCCAAGACTCTCATCAAGTCCGGAAGGGAAGGAGATGGAGATCTTGGGGCCTGGGGCGTGTCTAGGGCACCGTTTTCCAGGAGAAATAGACAAACGAGTTTGGGGGGGGCAGGACGTTGAGGTTAAGGATGGGTGGGAGAGCACAATTTTTTATTGTAAGCCTTACAGTATTATTTGACTTTATAAACAATATGAGAATATTATTTCAACTGGTATTTCTAACTTAAAAAAAAAAAAGTACACGGTGTAACCTGGGACAAAAGGGCAGACACTCTTAGCCCCGCCACTTGCTAATCGAATGACTTAGCATGTGGTGAACGTCTCTGAGCCTTCGTTCCCTCCCTTGTACCTGCCGGTACAAGGATGTGTGAGGACTGAGCAACACATGGAAAGCTCTGAGCCTGAGCCTGGCACCCAGGGAGCCCTTGGCAGAGGAGGTGCTCCCATGGCCCTCCAGTGCCGCGCAGAACTGAAGCCTCACTCCCCCTCACCCACCCGCGTGTGACCCCGAGACCACTGGAAGAAGCAAGGACTTACAAATCATCACCTGCGATCTTAAGTATTTCTGTCCTTGCAGCTTTCCCTTTGTGTCACGTATTTGAAAGAAACTGGCTCATTTTTCTCTGTCCACAGCTCGCCCCAGTCAGCTCTCAATGGGCTATAAGCCTGCCACTCCAGGGGGCAAGGGTGGGGTAAAGACAAGAGCCTCACCCCAAGACCCCTCTAAAGCATATTCTGGGCCCATGACTCAGCTCATCCAAATATATACTCAAGATGTGATGACACTGTCCAGCTACTCGTGTGTGATATAGGAGAGAGCAGGAGCCAGAAATGTCATCGAGTCTCTCCCAGCTGCCCCCCCAACCCCACCCCGATTCCTTTCTGACTGACCAGCAGGCAGCCCAGTGGCTGCACTCACCTGCTCACTGCTCTCTTGTCTCCTGCAGGTGCCATCATGATCCCCTGGGTGCTCTTGGCCTGTGCGCTCCCGTGTGCAGCGGACCCTCTGCTTGGCGCCTTCACCCGCAGGGATATCCAGAAGGGCGCCCCCCAACTTGTCTGCAGCCTACCTGGCCCCCAGGGCCCCCCAGGCCCCCCAGGAGCCCCAGGGCCCTCAGGAATGGTGGGAAGGATGGGCTTTCCCGGCAAAGACGGCCAGGACGGCCAGGACGGGGACCGGGGGGACAGCGGAGAGGAAGGTAAGAGGCCCAGTGCCTGCCCCCCCACCCCCAGCCCCGTTCCCACCTGGCCTTGACAGCGTCTGGCACAGAGAGGGTTTGTGAATTCTGAACCTAGTGTTAATCCCATCTCGTTATCAGCCAAATTAATGTCCCTCTAAACAATAAGCAGTGTATTCTCCTGAAAGAAACAGCGGGGGTTAAATCTTGTGATCCTTTCCCAGCTGTACCACTGATTTACTGAGTGACTTTGGGCAAGTTTCCTGATATGCTATTCAGATCTCTTTTGGTTGTATCCGTATGCCGCTGATAAGTCCAGGAGTTAAGCGTCAGAAATGGCTAGATCCAGGAGTTCAAATGTTGTTGTCAAGGCTCTGCTCCTCTCTGTATGTTGGTTTTGTTCTCACAAAGGCTGGAAGTTCTGAAATGGCTCCCAGTGGGCTCAAGGCTTCCTCTTCATGGCTTGATCCGTAGAGCACATCTCAGGGTGACCGATCCTCCCTGATCCCATGTGCATCCTGGACCAATCCCTTTGACCACGGAGGGGAGGTACTACCATTTGCCAGTACTGGGCCTTGTGCCCACCCCTAGCTGTGTGTGCCCGGGTGGTGAGGGCGGTTGGTCACCGTGATTGACAGCCTCCGTGGGGGCCCATGAAATAGTGAACTGCAGTTCCCCAACGGAAAGGATGCCAGGCAGCCAGCAAACGCATTGAATACTGTCTACACGCCCGCTCAGCCTTGATGGCACTTCTATCTCCGAACTGTCCCCCCAGTAACCAAACACTTTCCCATCAGCAACACCCCAAAATGTACATTTTACGCAGTAGGGAAGTCATAACTTTTATTTGTATGGCCTTTTAACATTGACAAAGCGTTATCCCATTTCCTGACCTCAGTGGGAGGGTCGGATCTGGACACAAGCTCCGCACAGGGCCAGCCAGGGCTTTCCCTGACACTCGCCTCAGAGACCCTAAGGGAGGAACCGTGTCTCTACTATTGGCTTTTCCCTCTTGACCAACAGCTGTGAGCATGCAGGCTTGGGGCTGCCTTTGGCCGTCTCTCCTGCCCATGTATTGGCTCTCTGGTGAGAATGAATCCAACACACCACGGACAGCAGTGCTGAGAAATGGAAAGCCCTGATCTGGGGGACCCAGATAAAGCCGGGTCTCCCTGGACCAGTCATAGAGCACGATGACCACCAACTACCTGCCCCCCATAGACACATATAAAACCATCTCCAGGAAGGTCTTGAAAAGTCAAGTCAGCTTTTCCTGAAATTTCTCAGAAAAGTCATCGAGAAGGAAGCACCTTGTTTCCCAATAAGCTTTCTTATTTGTCATCCCCTGAAAATATTAAATCCAAAATGACTCTCTTTACACCTCTTCTCCTAGCCCCTTCTCCCGCCTTGTGGTTATTTTCATTTTTTCAAGGAACGGCTTTGTGACCTTTGCCAGTTTTCGTTTTCCTGTTCCTTTTATTTATTTTTAATTACATGAGTAAAATGCAAATGCATTTTCAATGTAATCAAACAATAGAAATAAAGCAGGGGTCCCCCTTAATTCCTGCCCCCTTCTTGTCCTCCCCTCGTCCTCCAGGGCTGGCCACTGATAATTGGGTACATGTGTATCTTTCCTGGCCTTTTTCTGTTGATTTACATAGTGTAGAATAATACCAGGCACTGCCCGATGTAAGCATAGAAGTTCAGTGAGAAAATGCTATTTCCCACTGACTTAAAATAGGAAAAATCGAAATGGGTTACACGTTAACCCAAAGCTCTAAAACACAGTAAAATGGCTCCACATATCCAGCTAAGAAGCAATCCTGTCAGGGTGTAAAATGCCTATATTACTTTCTGATCACCCAATTTATATGGTGGTTAACAAAGAGTTGCCTTGTGTACAATGATGCTAAAATATTCTTTAGGGCCAACAGTCTTCAGAAGCAGGCTCCTTGATGGGCGTTCAGCAGGCTTTCAAAGCACCTACACCCAATTCTGCGGGTCTACCAATTGTACCAATCTCATACTTGTGTTTGGCTGTGACTCAACTCTTTACCCATAATATGTTGTATTTAAAATGTTGTATTGAGTTTAGGGGACATGAATATAAATGTTTTCTATATAATCATGGGCCAAAAATGTCATAGTGAAAGAAACACACATTTTATGACATAAGGGTGTTCAAAACCAAGAGCTATTCTACAGGAAATACACTCTAGGGTATGCTGAGTGTATTTAGCAAGTGCTTACTATGCGTCAGGCACTCTTCCATGCAATTAAATGGGTATAGAAATAGCGTGGTGGTTTTCTTTGAACAACACCCTGACGCCGGCCCTTTCCTCTTAACAGGATGTGTTTGAGAACATTTCATGTGCCCGTAGGTCTGCCTCACTTTAAAAAACTCCTGCATAGAATTGCCCATTATGGGTGGACCCTAATTTTTTCATCATTCCCCCTTGGATGGACAGTCAGTCGTTCTTAGTGTCTGCTAGTACAAGCAACGCCGCACCAAACACCCTTGCGCACATGGGCAGGGATTTGGGGGCGAGGCAGGGATTTCATTAAGATCCATGTTTTAAGGTCAAGAGGCTTCTCCCAATTCTCTTCCCACCCATTATCCGCACAGCCCATTGAAGGCTTGTTCTGGCAGACAAACCAGACTCTTCCTTAGGAGGCAGGAAAAGAAAAGGCTGTGAATTGTTGTGTTATTTTTGCCCCGATCCACAATGATCCCGGAAGGTAGGTGTCACCGTTCCCCTTTTCCAGATAGGACTGGGAGACGGGCCCCAGGCTACACTGTCAGGATTCGCACCCAGGTGACTCCAAAGCCCTCTTGTGCTTCCCATCACCCAAAGGCTTGTGCCCCAAAGACGGAAAGCCAAGGCCCACAGCCTTTGCCTAGGTCTCTGAGGGCCCCTTAGTAACACCAGCTGCTCTGTCTTCCAGGTCCACCTGGCCGGACAGGGAACCGGGGGAAGCCAGGGCCAAAGGGCAAAGCGGGGGCCGTTGGGCGGGCTGGCCCTCGCGGCCCCAAGGGCGTGAGCGGAGCCCCGGGGAAGCACGGCACTCCAGGCCAGAAGGGGCCCAAGGGCAAGAAGGGGGAGCCAGGCCTCCCGGGCCCCTGCAGCTGCAGCGGTGGCCACGCCAAGTCGGCCTTCTCAGTGGCAGTGACCAAGAGCTACCCACGGGAGCGGCTGCCCATCAAGTTCGACAAGATCCTGATGAACGAGGGCGGTCACTACAACGCCTCCAGCGGCAAGTTCGTCTGCAGCGTGCCGGGCATCTACTTCTTCACCTACGACATCACGCTGGCCAACAAGCACCTGGCCATCGGCCTGGTGCACAACGGCCAGTACCGCATCCGGACCTTCGACGCCAACACGGGCAACCACGACGTGGCCTCAGGCTCCACCATCCTGGCTCTCAAGCAGGGGGATGAGGTCTGGCTGCAGATCTTCTACTCAGAGCAGAACGGGCTCTTCTATGACCCTTACTGGACTGACAGCCTCTTCACAGGCTTTCTCATCTACGCCGACCAGGACGACCCCAATGAAGTGTAGGCAGGCCGCGCTGGGTCTCCAGGGACGACGGAACGCGCTCCTGGACTTGTGCTTACAGAGCAAGGCCCCTGAACTGTCTGCTGGGGTTGGGAGGTGGGAGCTTCCGGACTCAGGCCAACCGCCTCTGCCCCCTTTTTCTCCATCATTAAATCCAAGCTTTTTTATCCATCCTTCCATTTATCCATTCACTATTTATTTATTTATTTTTTAGTACTTACTGTATGACAGGCACTGTGCTACACTCTGACAGGTACCACAGTGAACAAGACAGACAGAGGCTCTGGCCTCTTGAGCCTTACATTCCACTGGGGTATACAATTTACAAATAAACAATGCAATTATTGTGCCAGGATGGAAACGCACATGCCATGGCCAAGAGTAATCGGAATAATAGGAGGCAGGGAAGAGGTGGATTTCTTTTTTTTTTTTATTCCATCTTTTCAGGTTTAGTTATATACGGTAAAGTCTACACATCTTAAATGGACAGCTCAGTGAAGTTTTACATATGTGTACTCTTTGCAACTTCCATGTAGATTAGGAATAGAATATTTCCAGCCCCCCAACTACCTAAGGCTCTCTTAAGTTCCTTCCAAGTCAGTACCAGGAAGAGGTTAATTGTTACGCTGAGCACTGAAGCAGGAAATAGCCACGCAGAAGGCCGGAGGAAGAGGTCTCCTGGCAGAAGGAGCTACAAGTGTAAAGGCCTTGAGACTGGAGAGAGCATCACATAGCTGAGGAACTGCCTGAAGGCCAGAGGGTTGGAGGGAAGTGACAAAGGAGAAGGAGGCCAGAGGATTATATAGGACCTCACAGGCTGTGGAGAGTTTATTCCACTCAAGAAATCTTGTCAGGGTACAAGAGTGAGCATGACATTAACAGGGAGATAACCTTGCATCTGCTCCATGCATGAGTCAAATCCGTCTCACACTTAAGCACTTTATTCTTAGTTACAAGTCTCCTGTTCGGGGCCCCCCTCTCAGCCGGTGAGATACACCAGGATCCCCCGCATGCCTGGGAACCGCAGCTGCCAGGGCACACCGGCACTGGGTAGCATATGCATGAGTCCTGCCCCTGCCCCAGCGGTTTCCAGTGTGCAGGGGCCCAAGGGCTAGTGGCTGCACAAAGTGCCTGGTGGGCAGAGGGCCCCATCGGTCAACTGCTGGAGAGAGTCTTCTGATGGAGCCACAGCTCCCCGGAGGATGGCTCTCGCCCACCTCTAGCTGGAAGGGGCCCCTGGGACAGGGAACACTGTCTGGGGTGGTCCCCTCCCTAAATAAAATGGAGTTTATTTAAAATAACTCCATGGTCCCCGGACACAAAAACTATGGGATTAGTATGGGTCTGAGAAACCCACTGCATAGGTCTGGGTCCTGCCTGGTACCCCTGGGAGTTTGAGCAGGAATCTTTGTGACCAGGTCTTTTTATCTTTTATTTATTTTTCTAATTTTTTTAGGAGCACCTTTAACCACTTCCTCTCCCTTCCCCCCAGACCCAGGCATTTGAAGGCTGTGCACTTAACCCTTTGTAGCCTGGGTAGTATATCCAACCTGAGCAAGATGAGCAGGACCACCTCTGGGCCTGACCTAAACCCATGTCCTTCTGTCACGCTGCCAGGGAACCCCTGGGGAGGGTGGTGAGGATGATGGGGCGATAGCCAGCATTCACTGTGGGGGTGGGGCGGATGGAGGCAGGACCTGGCAGGAACCGGGTCTGGGATCTTGTCTCCTTTGGGTGTGGTCCAGGGCTGCGGGAGCAGGTGAGGCAGGAGTCCTGGGTTTGTGGCAGGTGGGCAGAAGCAGGTGACGCTCAGGGGGTCTCGGGTAACAAGCTGATGGCAAGGAAGAAGGCTGATTTATTTATGAACACTTCTGAGGGTGGCTGCCTCTGTGGTGAATCACTGGGGTCCTCAGGCAGGTGATGCAGGATGGAGTCCACACAAGGAAGCTGCCCCAAAGAGGTCGCCTTTCCAGCCACACTGGGGGACTAGCCCATACTGTGAGTCCCAGCAAACAGGGCCTACCTTCAGGCCTGGGTTTGCAGGCCTTGATGAAAACCCCGAGCCCCGAGCATCTTTGTGCAGTAAACTTCCTTTGACCCAGGGGTCTTTTCTTATAAGGGACGCACTTTGAAAGGCAGCCATTGTCAAAGATAAACTAAGCTCCATGATAGTTAAAGTGGTAAGGTGAGGTTTTAATCAGGAATATACTATTGCAACAGTATATAGAGAATATGTAATATCAAGCTTGCAGTAATACAGGGTGGGGCAAAAGTAGTTTTACATTGTATGAACAATAATACAATAATTAATAAATAACAGTACAAGAATCAACTCTGTTTTGCGTACTCACAACTGTAAACATACTTTTGCCCCACCCTGTATAAATAATATATTAATGCAATATTTTAATACATCGAAATTAATGCCAAAAAATCTCCGTGATGAACAAAGTATCGAAATTTTAGATGCTTTCAAGATCTGGCAGTGCTGGAATTAGGGCGAGATGAGGGAGGCTGAGTCGTCAGCAGCCGCTGGGCACCGCCGGACACCGCTGGGCAGCCGCGCCCTCGAGGCTGAAACCTTCCACTTCCTGCCTGTCACCTTCACTTATTCCACCAGGGGGGGCACGCCTACTACGCAAACCCTTCAGTCTCCCAGCTTACAGGCTGGAAGATCTACCATGGTCTCCAAGCTGTTTTCTAGATTCAGAGCCAAAGATCAAAAAAATAAGAGAGAAAAAGACATACATTCTGGCTCATTGTTTTATGTAACCATGACCTTCTGCTGGGGGAAAGAAAAAGAATGAAACACAAGAGCTGCGTGTCTTCCTAGCATTTTTAGTTAAACGGATTTTGTGTTCATTCTCCACTGTAGACACAACTGGCATAGGGCAGGGATATAGCAGTTATCCAGGAGACAGGAAATCTGGGTTCCAGCCCTAGTTCTGCCTTCAGATTCCCTGAGCGGATTTGGCCAAGTCATTTCTAGTCTGGCGGCCTCAGTTTCTCCATCTGTAAAATGAAGGATAGGATCCGATGAGCTCAGAATCCATTTTGGCACGGACCATTTAGGTTGGTGTCTCCAAAGGGAGGTCAGGAAGAGAGCCTGACCTTCCCAAAACAAATTAAAACAGCTGGATGAATCAGGCTGGCGTGTTCTGAAATGCTGAACTGTGACACCGGGCCCTCTGCGTTCTCTAAAGACTTCCAACAAGTGCTGTTCTTGGGGTTTCTGAGTTAGGATAGAAATCATGACTAACTGTTACTGAACATGAGCCATAGGCTGGGTTTTACGTATTATATTGTTTTTTTCTTTTTAGCTTTTCAACACTGCCTGCCCTTTACAGGTGGAGAAAGTTCTGTCCTAGAAAGAATGCCAAAGGTCACCCCGCAGGTAACGCTGCAGCGGCGGGGCCTCCCTGCTCCGCCGGGCGTGCCCGCAGGGGGGGCGGCCAGAGAAGGGCGAGAAGCGCTCGCAGCTCCCGAGCGGTAGGGGGCGGGGCCGCGAACACTCACCTCCCACGCAGCGTGGTCCTGACTAGTGGGTTAAAGATTTCGTGCCGGTTCAGCAGCCGTCTCCTAAGCCCCAGCGGCGGCAAGGCCGGGCAAGGCACGCGTGGTCCCCAGGACAGGCGGGGAGTGGGACTGTGAAAGGGGCCGAGACAGCTGCCCCTGGCCTGGCCCCAGCAACTCCTAATCCTGCTCTAAAGTACAGCCGGCGTTGCCAAGCCCTGGGCCAGGGGGTAAAACGGAAACAGGAAACACTCCAATGCTGCTCTTTCGTGGGGCGGGGGACGTGTGTGTGTTCCTTTTTCTTCCTTTTTCCCCTTTCCTGGTGTCACTTCCACAGCTGCCCTCAAGCCCAGGCGGACATTGAAAATGGACTCTGAGGGTGGGTTGGAAGGTAAGCGCCCAGCCCCGGCCCCTCCGCCGGCGTCCGCCGGCTGCCGAGGAGCCGTGGCTCGCTCACCCCTGAGAACATCTCTACGATTTTCGGCCATTCCCCTCTTCCTGCTTCAGAGACAGGAGCCTAAAAACAAATTCTCAGAAAGGGCCCACCGATGGCTGCGATCCAATTGCTTTCTTAGTTTTTGAGACATTTTTCATCTACTTCATAGTCTTGCCTCAGGTTGGTCCTGATTAAAAACAAGAAGGAAGAGTTCCATTTCATCACCGGTATTTATTTTCGCCTAGGCCCTTGTGAGCTTGCAGCAGCCATGCGTCCCCGCCCTCAAGTGGTTTTCAAGCTGAGGCCGATAATTATCCAAAAGAGCCTCCTAGCGTGAAAAGTCCGTATCCCGCTTGGGGCTCCTTTATCCCTTAAAACTCATTAATGTATGAGCTTAATTACATGGAGATCAAGGGCCTCAGAGGTGAAAGGCTAACTAGGGCATTAAATCCTGAACCACTTCTCAGACCCGCATGGGCAAATCGCTCGTGAGAAGCTCCGCATCCCCTGGTTGGAGTCCTGTTCCAGGCCTCCTGCAACCAGAACGTGCTCGGAGGAGGATGGGCAGGTTCTGGAAGGGCCACCTTCTACAAGTAAACAGAGAGAAAGGAGGATGGGAGACCTGAGGGGTCTTGTCCCCTGCTGCAGGGTGGTCCTGGGGCCGGGGACACCAACAGCTTCGGGATGCTCTGGAGAGCAGGACTTGAAGAACTGGCGGACTTTATCAGCCGGCCAGTTTGGACCAGTTTATTTGCTCAATAAATATTTATTAAACCTCTACTATGTGCCAAGCCCTGAGTCAGGCACTGGGGATACTGGGATGAGCAAATGCTAGGTCTGATTACTGTCCTTCTGGAGCTTCGAGTGAAGCACAGGGGGCAGATGTTGGACAAACGACCACACGAATATATGTAAAATGTCGGCCGGGAAATGGTGCCATGAGAACAGCAAGGTGAGGATTTGTCCTAGGAAGAGTGTCACAGAGGACTCTGCAGGTGGAATGACAACAAAGCTGGGGACCGCATAGTGTGAGCCGGGGAGGCAGGTCCAGGGATGGGACAAAGCATGACAGGTAGTGGGACAAAAGTAGCCCTGTCCCCAGGTCATGGGGGGAGAGGGTGCATGAGAAAAGGA